CTTGGGTCGCGAATCCTCTATGGTTCAAGGCCGGAACTCCATTCGCTCCATTCACCTATCAGATTTTCAAACCTTGAATATTTTATTTCAGTTTATTCAGATGGAATGGTTCAGAACGCAGCAGATGATGTATTTACATGATGTATAAGGAGAAATTTAAATTAATTTTAAAACCGTAGTATACTCGCACGCATCCAGGAAATCTCGTGCCAACAGCCAGACAGTCCCGCACGCTCGGCGATCTCTCGAGTAGAAAGAATGCTTGCTAAAAAAAAAAATACTAAAATCACAGTTCCCCAGCATTAGAAAATATTATCGATTGGGACTTATCACCGGTGTCGACTGAGAGTCCTGCATCCCGAAAGCTCAACATCACCTTCCACGCAAGGCCGTATTTAGGAGGGGGGGGGGGGGGGGGGGGGGGGGGGGGGGGGGGGGGGGGTGGGGGCAAAGGGGGAGAGGAGATTCCGAATGCAGCGGTTATTCTGCAGAAGTAGATCCANGGGGGTTCATGGGGTCCAAACCCCCCCGAAATATCATACTGCCATACTGCTATTTATTGGTGTAAACGGTGCAGTACTTGGTCTTTTCTATCTTTAATAGCTTATGACTTATTAAACACTGCAGCTTACAGGAAAATCCAGATATGTCACGAAGACTTACAATGACAAGTATAAAAAAAATTGCCACAGCCCATACGCCAGACCTCATCCCCCCCAAAATGAAATCTTAGATACGGCCCTGCTTCCACGTGTCGGATATATTGATAGGTCCAGAATGCCTATTTTCAAATGAAGAAGGCACTTTCCGTCAGGAAAAGTAAGGGTTAAGGTGCCGGATAAATTTTTAAGGTGCCGGATGATTTTTGTGTACCATCTAAAAGCGGAATACAAAATTATGAAAAAATCCCCTTTTCCTCCCACCTAATTGACGCGTTGACCGCCACGGAAATCTATTGATTTTCCCATGCAGTGAGGCGCACCGGTGTGCCTCGTGGCGGTCAACCTGTCGAGAGGTGACGCACCTCCGCCTCGAACTTTTTTCTTTTCATTTCTGTGAGGCACGGGAAGGGAGGGTTGGGAGTCAGTGACCCATGCAGTAAAGTACCTGTTCAATATTCATGACACCTGTGAGAATGGAAAGAAAGTGGAATGGACTTGTTCACCGCCTCTCGTGCCGGTGCAGCACTTCAACATCGAGAGAGATTCGTCGACATCATGATTGACGTCTGAGAATGGGGAAACGTGGAAAGGGTTTTCCGGACTGCTAAATAAGAGCATGCTTCCTAACTGTCCTTTCTGCTGATGTCGAAGGAAGCATGATGTGCGGCAGGTGAAGTCTAGTAATGTCTGGTACTGGTTCGAAATGAATCATCTAAATATCACATTCGCACGATTTCAGTTTTGGAGTTAACCTTTGTCGACATTTTCGGATCAGCCATGAAACAAGCTTCTCCCTTTTCTGTCATTCCCCCCTCCCATCGGTCCCTTTTCCCTTTTCCTAGTGAAGACCACGCATGATGACGTGTTGCCGTGTTTGAACAGTTGATGCTGGGGATGGTGTGGCTCGGCTGGGCCTATCCAGCGGATCGGGAGGATGAAGGAGACTTTCTCGTCAGACCGAGAAGGTCGTTTTTCCGCGTCCCGTTTTGCTTCCACCGAGAAAACATCTTGGATCTTCGATCGAGGCTAGTCTGAAAAATATATATATATAAAAATGGAATTATGATGAACAGGGAGGCGATGAGCCCGGATGCAGATGCGGATGCGGACGGGTTTCCGGACCCCTTGCCAAGCAAGGGCTGGCTCTTCGGCTATCAGAAGAACAAGAAATACTGGAATGCCAAGAATTTTGGCGCCTTCGGATAAAACGCTCCTATGACCCAAATGACCTATATTCTCTTTTTTTTGGCTTCAACCGTGTATTCCTCTCCGTGATATGATGTCTATTCATTGATTTACATCTGCTTAGTCACTCATCGCGCACAGAGATAAAAATAATATAAATAAAACTTTATTTTCATTTGCATTCTGATTGTCCTTCCTTCTCATTCTCACGGGGGAAAACTTATTCCGACGCACCGTTTTCCTTATTTTTGCAAAAAAAAACATGATTTTGCAATTGAAGATGCCCAATATCGTTCACCAACGTCATGGTTGCGATTAGATGGATCTCAACTAATAAAATCATGTTTGTGGCCTCGACTCGATCGGTGCATTAAGTCAAGAGCAAAGGCTAAGTTCAAAAGCAGTGCCCTGGAATAAATGAACATAAGAAAGCCATCTAGCGGTTGGTTTCCACAGCGAAAAAGTGAAAAGTCCTTAATCGCCATGTAATCTGGTCATCCCTCTTGAATGCCTGAAATTCTCGAGAAGCAATCCACATCAGTTCACGGGAAGCAAAAGAGGTCCACCCCCTTGCCCCCCCTTGCCCCCCGCCGTCTGTCTTCTGATAGAGACACTGGAACGACCGCTATCAAATTTTAAATCTGAAGCAGGTTCAAAATGATGGCATTTTCAAAAACTTCATTTTGTTTCTTTAGCCAATGGGTAATGGTATCATTGCTGAGAAATAGCCCTCCGATTGCAGAGGACTGACTGGGGCAACCGTCCCACTTTAGGTTAATTTACGGGGAAAACTGAGGAAATATGAGCAAAAAATGAGAGAAAGCGAAGCAAGAACAGTCGAAGCGGCCAGATTCACTCGGCTGATCATCAAACTTTTAGGGATTTGTTTGGAAGAAGCGAGGAAGTAAAATGGGAACGAGGCTGAACTTCATCAAACCCACTTGTCTTCGTCTCGCAACATTTCCTACTTTTATTCTATGTCATTCCTTTTTTTGCAAGAATCATCTGAGAACCCTGCAATCCCGTTTGCCAGACCGAAAACCAAAAGATTGGGAGCCATCCCCAGCGAGAATAACTTGAACGAAGAACCTGCCTTCGCTCGAGACCGAAACTTCAGCGGAATCCACAGTAAGCAACTAATAGATGACACGATTCGATTCTTGCCATCCCTCGACTTGACTTCGACAAAAGAACCAAGAAAGCCAAAAGAAGCTGAAATGCGTTGTGCCCGCCTTCCCCTCCATAAAACCTCCTCGTCGCCCGCCCGGACACATCGACGCCGCCTCCAGCGTCACCCATATCGCCGGGGATGTCCGAGCGAACAGCTGGGCGTCGAGTGTCTCATTCTCCTGTCGCCTCCAGGGGCCTGTTCCTCACCTCTGCTAAACTTAAATCTAAATCTAAACTAAATCTAAAAACAGCCTAAGAGCAAAAAGTCTATTCCTCGCCCTGACCCTTTAGATTTAGATTTAGATTTAGATTTAAGTTTAGCAGAGGCGAGGAACAGGCCCCAGGAGAGAGAGGCTTGCTTTCCTCGCATCTCCTTTCCTCCTACTCAAAGTTCCCCTTCCTGCTTTTTTTTTTCTCGCCGATGCCTTTCTCCAATTGTTCCATGCACGCACAACTTAATTGCGTGCAAATTAATCTATTAAACTATTCGGCAGGGAGACTTATGTAACGGTAGAAAGTTACAATTACTCGACGGCCCAACTTTCCATGGAGCAATATTATTTATAATATTAATACTGCACTTGACATATTATGGGACTTCAATCTCATTTCGCTCGTCCAAATATGAATATGAAAATCAAGAATCAAATGTGAACTTTGTCCAGCTCTAAGCGTCATTAGTTGGGTTGAAAAATGGCATTGCACCAGAAGAGTAAAAATTGATTGATCTTGCCCTCGATTAAGTCGAGCCCATGGGCAATTTCATTTTAAGAAATTCGATTTCCAAACGCGCAAAGCCATGGCTCACTTTTGCTTTTAACACTGAGTTCGCGAGCCAACAGCAACGGAAATGCCTATTTTAGGGGGAAAAGATGAATAAGTGATAATTCCGGAAAAATCATATCCCATTCAAGTTGCTTATCGCTGAAAAGATGGCGATCCCCGAGCACGGAAATGTAATTGAAATCGCTATTGCTATCTCGTGCTCAGAAAAATTAAGAGTCGAAGTAGAGGAGTCTCAAGAGGTGGCCGCAGATACCTAATTACAAAATCTGAGAAGTAAAATCTAGTATATACTGTATTATTGTCCTTCGTTTAGAGTAAAACTACGAGATGTTTCATCCAGTGTGAAGATATTTCCACCGATTGCTGTAGCCATTGCTGATGATAAGGCCTCATCTCGAAACTTTGCATGAAAGCGTCCGAGGATGCGAATCTGATCGAATCTCTGCATTCGTGTCCGCTTCGAAATCGAAAACTCGAGGAAACGAGAGATTCTTCAGAGATTCATTAAATCGAGAGGAGCGGGGAGACGTTGGTTTTGGAGGAGAAAAATTGGGACACCCCACCACTCCACATCACGTATTTCGAAAACCACGAGTTTTCTGCAGCTCCTCCTCAAAAATTAGAATGCTGAGATAGCTCGGGGTACACTCTGAACACTCTAACAATAAATTAACTTAGAGTGGGACCTTTCCCCATGCGTGTTGCCGATGCCTCGCGATATCTCTGTAGAAATACGGGATAGAACGTCGAAATGAATAACGAGCCAACTGAGAGGGGGTTGCAAAATGTATACAAGACGAACGCAGCGTCTGGGCGTTAAGAGCGTTTTGAGGTTCCGTCCTATCTCCGCCGCAACGTAACCGGTTCTCTCCGGATAAGTGGCGCGAAATGCGATGAAAAATATAGGGGACGGCAAGCTTTCATTCCGGAGGGGGATCCATCCGTCTCTGAAAGCGGGGCACGGTGAAGGAGACGAATGGGGCCTCTCCGCCCGATTCCTCATGGGATGCATGCAACGAGTGCATTCCTCCTACAGCGAGAAACGTCCCGAGGTGACGTCACGGGTGCGTCCGCCAATCGGAGGCTGGAGAAGACGGAGAAAAACGCTGGAAACTGCCAAGAAGGTGACCGCTGGCCCCAGGGCTCCGGGTTTCTACCTATATATAGAACATTTTCTCCATCATCAGGGCACATCTTCACCGTTTCGAGAAACCCAGTGAGTTCAAACGGATTCGGGAAGGAAGCATGAAGTGCGCAATACTTTTGGTGAGTCTGGCCGATAGGATTCTTCTTCTGGTGTCTTAAGAATTCACGGCTGCATCTACGGACACGGCAACGAATATACTGTATATTTTTTTGTTAAAAGCGCTGTTAGATGCAATGGATTTCCTGCATTCTGTAAGCGAAGAATGTTATCGGTAAAATCTATAAAACTTGATTGTTAATCCTGGAAATTGGGATTCGTTTTCGTCCGAAAGGGCTGTCTTGCATTCCGAGAAATACGGTTTTGGCATAAACACGTCCTTTTGGCGCTTCGATGCAAAAGGTAATGTGGAATAGGGTGCATCTAATCTCAAGGTCGACGGCATGCAAGTTTTCATCGAAATGCCCGTTTCAGAGGACAGGAATGGCTTTGAATCACCACTGGATGAAACTAGAAAGCTTCAGTTGCAGAAATGTTTAATCCATGGAATGGAATGTGGACTCGTTTCGTTCGTAGAACATTAAAAGAAAGACCTCAAGCTCTCCCGTATTGGAGTTGACACCAACAGCGACCATCCTGTACCATTCACGTTAGTTGTTAGAGCTTCTATAAACATAAAGGCCTAAATGCCTGGTTTTACTGATTTTATCATTCTGGTCGCAATTCTGAAGCTGGAAAGAGTGCCGGAGTGCCTCCCATTCCTCTCCATGTCTTCTCACGTGCGAAAGTTTTCGTGTCTGTGTTATTCTTTTGTCAGAATTTGTGTTTACCGTTCGTATCACGAAATGGATTTTTCCTATTTCCTTCTTCCCCCCCCCCCCCCCCCCCTCCCCCTTTTCTTCGTGGAACAGCTGCTGCTGGGGATGGTGTGGCTCAGCCGGGCTTATCCCATGGATGAGATCGAGGACGAAGGAGACTTCCTCGTTCGAATCCGAAGGTGAAGTCTCTGTTTCCCCGAAACGTTCGTCGATTTAAGCCCGTCTCACGACAATGGATGCATGGTGTTTGCACGGACAGGGAGGCGATGAGTCCGGATGCAGATGCGGATCCGGACGCTTTCCCCGACGCCTTCCCGGGCAGAAGCCAGGACAGCCTCTTCGGCTACAAGAAGACCAAGAAATTCTATAACGCTAAGAATTTGGGCGCCTTCGGATGAAACGCTTCATGTCGCATGAAGGACTTTCCTATATATCTATATCTATATATTTCTTTATTCCTTTCCGCGTTATCTTCTCCGTGCTGTGAATGCGATTCGGCCACCATCCGATGTCTTTCCTCTGCTTAGTCACTTGTCGTGCGCGAAGAATAGAGAATAAAAGCTTCATTTCATGCACCCGCTGCATTATGATTTCCTGCTCCCTTTCAAGTTCATCGCACTCGGAACATTTTTTACTTGATTTGATGCAACGTTTGACCACGAGGATGGAAATCGGTAAAAAAAAAAAAATACATTTGCACCTTAGACATGAAAAAAGTAAGCCCTGTGCTTCAGATCTTTAATGCGATTACCCGGTGAGCCGGCATACGAAACAGCATCACGGCTGCAAGTAGATGCCGAGCGGTCGTCTTTATGGAATGAGGAAAGCACAAAGAAACCTCTTGACTGTATCAGAACCCCTCACAACTTCGCACGAGTTTCATCACGATCTTCTTGCGAGGGGTCTGAAATGCCCGAATTGCGACGAGGTATCAGCGCGAAACCGACATCGACTCGTGTCGGCACGAAACCGACATCGATTCGTGTCGCACGCGAACGTCAAGTCCAGCCGTTCGAGAGCGTGCAAACGCTTTAGCAGGCCGAGGAGCAGGAAATTCTCTCTCAAACAGGTGAAAATGTTATTTCAGAGTTTAAGAAAACTTAGATCATCGACAAACACTTGTAGCTTCGAAAGGAAACAGTCAGAAAATTTCGAAAATGTTCTTTTGAGACGTTTGAGATGACGGCCTCTTGCCATTCAACTAGACCCATATATTTGAAATAACGAAAGAAAAAGAAACCCTCGCATTGCAGTTCCTCGTGTTCACTGATCCCCGCCCATAAAATGATGGAAAGAATCCTTGAGTTTCTCTTCGATTGCTACCTGGCCTGCTTCAATGCCCTCATCATCGAAGGATTTCATGGGAGTGTCGGCAGTTTTCACCATCTCCGCTTGCACCAAATGTAAAAATCATGAGTCTCTTCAATTTTTTTCCCTCCCAGACGAGTTAATCGGCAATGGTTCAAAAGTGTGCCAAAAACTTATCAGAACGAAGCACCTTGCGGGTGAGAAGTGAAGTCGCCAATTCCTACTTATTTTTTTGGAGTTTCTGCTTCGACAAATCATCCAGAAACCACACCCCCCCCCCCCCCCCTCCCCCCCCACCGTTAGCGTGATACCNAAAAAACCCGACACCCCCCCCCCCCCCCCCCCCATAAGAATGACTGAAATCCTGAATGAAATGTGGTGTTCGAACTTTACTTCCTTGACATTTCCTCTGGAAAGTTCGAAGAACCGTTCATCTGGTTTCGTCGAGATCACGTGTTTTGAAAACTCTAGCATCGCCTATTCTATTGCTTTTTTTCTGCACCAATGCGAACAGCATATAATCGGAAGGAACGAGAACAAGGAAGATGAAACTGTGGGCTTCTTTGTGACTGCAGAAATACTATTTGTTTTGTTCAGTAAAACACAATCTCTCTTTAAATGCATTCATTATTCACTGTATTTTATAATGAAATACATTTTAGCACACATTCACTGCAGTCACTGCATGCACCAAGCCCAACGAAAGGAATTTCCCCCTTGGTCTCATCAGCATCTCGACCGGCACTGGAAGCAGAGGGTCTTCTCGGGGCAGCGACCGTCCCCGTCCGGGACTTGGACCCACACCTTGCAGCATTTGGAATCGCTCTCTCTGGGGGCGAGGCCGGCACTCGACCGATTCAAAGTGGATTTCCACGTGGAACCGTTTTCGAGGAATTCGGGTTTGAGGACGTAGAGGCATTCACCGTCGCCTTCGCGACCGCAATCCTCGACGTTTCTCGACTCTCCACCTGGTTTTGGTTTCATATTCAATCGGGGGCGAGAGGGGGGGTGGGGGTAGTTGCATGCATCAGATAGACTCGAGTCGAACCGATGGTAGTGCATGTGACCCTCTAAAACGGAAGGAAACTACACGAAGCGAGACGAGAGACGAGAGTGTCACGTACCGACGACCGTCTTGGCAGCGACGGAAAGAAACATCACCAGCAAGACCCAGTTTCTCATGATCCCCAGAGATAGTCGAGGACTTCACCGACGCCGAATCCAAGTAGGTCCAGGCGGAAGAAAAAACACGGCCGAAGAAACCGGCCAGCGATGGACTCCCTACCGATCTTCACGGCGCTCGGGCCGACACGTTCGTCGACTAACGTGGGAAAACGGCAGCGTGAGACACAGACTTACCTTTCGGGAAAGAAGGGAAAGAAGGCAGACTCCAAAATGGCTCTCCCGCTTTTTCTTTCCTTCGCGTTCGCGGTCGCCCAAGAGCAGTGCGACGAACAACTCGGATTTCTACCGAATGGTGATACGGTTCACGATGAGAATATCAAAGCAGTCCATTCTCGGAAATTCCCCCCCTCTCTATGCTGCTCGTGTCTCACGCCTTATTTTCTCGATGGGTCACACGATAGACTTAAATGGAAAATGAAACGCAATTTCCGAGGGTGAAAAGGACGAGAGCAAAGGTGAAGACCGTCTCGAAGCAGACTTCCCACGAGTTCATATAAATTATCCTTCCTTAAAACTATATCGATATTGTTCACAAGAAAAGATTCTGTTGGCTTTTTCTCGTAAGAGATTTCATCAGTGTGAAGCAAGAAAGAAATGGACTCTATTCCCTCTGCCCTCTTCCCTCCATTGCGATATGTCGCAAAGTGATTGATGGTATCGCATTTTAAATCTGCCCAATACGATGTTAGAAAGGAGAATGGATGGAAGAAATATGACGTGTCCCAAAGAGATTAGGATGAGCGTGGAGAAAAAGACTGGGGGACTCAAAGAAAGAGAGACGCATTATGTTTTGTTAAACATGATTTCATCGGTGTGAGGTGGAAAGAGGCTTCTGTCACGATCGTAAGAAACGTCAGGTTTTTATCTTCCAAAATATGCGGGTTCGTCTCGAGTCTTGTAGTTCCTGGAACATGAAGAATGCGACTGGTGATATACTGTATATAATGCGTGAAAACGAGACGGATTGCGCAGGAGCGAACAGCTCTGATGGGGATTCGAAGAGGCATTTAGTGGCTTCTGCAGTGGTCAGTCGGAATCCTCCATCCATCCTCCACCCTCCATCTACCTCCGCTGCGACCGAGTGACTGCGGAGATGTGGGTGCAGTGCCTCATTATCTACGAGGTACTTCCATTCCCATTCCGACTATGAAATTTTAGTGCTCGTGTGGCTTGGGTAGGAAATTAATTTTTTTCCCTTCATGAAAAATCTAAATTCTGTACGTTAAACTCTCCTGTATTGGGGATGCCGCTGACAGTACCTTAAACGTCAATCGTGTCGGAGCTTCTATAAACACATGCTGACATAAGCCTTAATGCCCGGTTTTACTGATTTTATCATTCTTGTCGCAATGCCGAAGCCGGATAGAGCTCCGGGGTGCCTCCCGTCATACCAGCCGAAATAAACAAATTTGTGCCTGCCTTTCTGCTCCATGTCTTTTCAGAGACTTTTCGTGAAAGTTTTCATTTCTGTGTCGGAATTTCGTCGGATTTTGAATTTACCGTTCGCATCATGAAAGATAATTTTCTTTACCTTTACCCCTCCCCCTCCCCCTTTTCCTCGTGGAAAACCTCGTGTGACGTGCATCTGGGTCTTGGGACAGCTGCTGCTAGGGATGGCGTGGCTCAGCCGGGCTTATCCAATAGACGAGATCCAGGACGAAGGAGACTTCCTCGTTCGAATCCGAAGGTGAAGTCTCTGTTTCCCCTAAACGTTCGTCGATTTAAGCCCGTCTCATGACAATGGATGCATAACATTGGAAAGGACAGGGAGGCGATGATTCCGGATGCAGATGCGGATCCCGACCCGTTCCTCTACTTTATCCCGGGCAGACGCCTGGACAGACCCGTCGGCTACAAAAAGAGCAAGAAATTCTATACCGCTAGGAATTTGGGTGCTTTCGGATGAAACGCTTCATATCGCGTGAATTACTTCCCTATATATATGCACATATATCTTTATATCGTTCCGCGTTTTCATTTCTGTGCTGTGAATGCGATTCTGCCACCGTCCGATACCTTTCATCTGCTTTGTCACTCATCGCATGCTAAGTAAAACGAATGAAAGCTTCATTTCATGCACCCACTGCATCATGATTCCGTGTTCCCCTTTTAGGCCCATCGCATTTGGGAAAAAAAATGTTTGAAAGATGGTTTGACAATGTTTGCTTACAAGGGCAGAAATAAGTTTTTTAAAAGAAGCATTTGCATAATAGACGTCAAAGGAGTGAGTCCCGTGCTTTAGAATTTTAATGCGATAAACCGATTAGTTGCCATACGAAACAACATCACCGCCACGATATCACGATTTTTTTGTTGATTATCTTGGAAGAACGGTAGCGCGACGCAGACTTACCCTTCGGGAAAGAAGGCAGACTCGAGAATGGCTCCCGCTTTTTCTTTCCTTCGCGTTCGTAGTCGCCTACGAATCACGTTTGGCGATCCGATTCAAGATAAGAATGTCAATGGATCGGTTCTCGGAAATTTTCCCCCTCTCTATGCCGCTCGTGTCTCATGCTTTATTTTCTCCCACTACCGGATGGGTTACACGATAGACTTAAGTGGAAAATGAAATGTATTTTCTGAAGGTGAAAAGAACGAGAGCAAAGGTGAACGCCACGACTCAGATTCCCAAAAGTTCATATAAATTGTATACTTTAACTTGTTCTTTCATAAAACTGCATCTATATTTTTCGCAAGAAAATATTCTGGTGACATTTTCTCTCGTCCGAGATTTCATCACTGTGAAAGAAGAATTGAACTTTATTCCTTTTGCTCGGGAGGCGATATGTTGCAACGTGATTGATGGTATCGCATTTTGAATTTGCCCAATACGGTGTTGGAAAAGGAGAATGGTAAGGAAGAAATACGGCTTGTCCCAAAGCGTGAGCATGGAGAAAAAGACTGGGGGATTCAAAGAAAGAGAGACGCATTATGTTTTGTCAAACATGATTTCATCGGTATGAGGTGGAAAGAAGTCCTACACTGTCACTATCGCAAGAAATGTCAGTTTTGTTTCTTGATACACGAGTTCGGCATTAATCTTGTAGTTCCTGGAACATGAAGAATGCGACTGGTGATA